CTAACTTTAGCTATTTACTAAATTCCCTTGATATTTTAACATACGGTAGTAAAAGTAAACTATACCAACGAATCAATCAATCAATTGGAGTGATGTTGAGAAATTATTTATTGATTTTTCAGGGAAAACCCTTAGAATCAGAAAGTATAAAACATTTTAACGTGATTCATGAATTTTTCATAATATTGTAAATGTTCTTGAGTTTTCAATATTCTTGGAGACATTCTACAGTTACTACCGGACGTAAACCTGATTAAGGCATAAGTTCTAAGTATCGATAGGGTTAACAACCTTATCCTGTACAAAAGAATCTTGCTAGATAAATGATAACCAGATATCATCTGGTTTAAAATAAATATTATTCCACTCCAACGCTTATTCTTGGCCTTAACTTCAAGCCCTAACTTAATTAATCGTTTATGATAACGTCCATAAATTGTAATTACACCTTGTCTTTATTGTATGTTCCAATATAATTACAAACTATTTTCTGATTCGTTGATAAGTCAGTAGTTTAATATGGTTGATGTATTTCACTTGTACTATCTCAATATAATTAGATCGTTTTATCCCTTTATGATAGTTAAAAGATAATGACACTATAATCATGGTTCATCATCTTCTACAGTATGTTTTCAATGGAACTACAGTGTTGAGTTACATAAATAGACTTATCACTTCATCATGTGTTTTATTCAAGCTATGAAATCACTATGAGGATTTTATGGTCAACATCTTTGATTAACCTTTATTTGATAATCATTAGAAACTAGGATGTACCAGGGAGTTATTTCTTCATGGTATGTAGCTTCTCAACAGAGCTGAAGAGTAGATTACTTAAATAAAAAAAGATTTGAAATGCGTCCTACTTTTCACTGGTTGTCTAGCTAAGTTTAATTTGTGATGTTCGCTGTTAAATTATGAAAGGTGGAATACTAGTTCACCAACGTAACCTCTATCTGGATAGACCACTTGATTACATTATTTTATAATTTCAGCTAATAAGAGAGTTATCCTTCAAGATGATGATGAAGATATATAACTCAGGTGGATTATTTCGGTGGATTTTTGTTCTCTGAGTTGGATGGTTTCGTCGTGGAGCTTTCATTGTTATTCTGAACTACTGATTAACTTATTCAATTATTATCATGTAATGCAAGTCATTTCAACAATGACGATTTTTATGCAGAGTAGAATAGTGGTTAGAAGTCCTATTTCGCACTCGGAAGCTGGATGTGCACCTGAATATGATTATTGATTTTCATCCTGGAACACGAACACAGAACCTTCCATTTCTAACACTATTGAACATAGGTAGCTACTGGCTTTTGTAATGAGATGAAATTTAATTAATATACATTGGTTGATTGAATCATCCCAGAAGTTTTTACGACTCCAATTGATCAATCTCTTTTGGGATATATCCATCTTGTCCGGATGGCTTCAATATAGATAAGTCCCTAGACTGAGAAGCTAAGTGAATAATGTTATGGCGTTTGAAACAAGTTATTCTGGTTTAGAGCTCCAGATCGAGCATCAACTCTGAGATGCAGATATATCCATCTGGCAAGTCCCTTATAGGATGAAATATGCAACCTGGTTTCCACTCTTATCCATCATCAATCTCTATTTAGAATACTTTCAACTTGAAAGCAATATCCAAGCAGTTTTAACACTATGTACATATGCCAAAAGAGATTGATTAACTGTTGTCATAAACATCAATGAGAATATTCAAACAACTAATACAAATAAATAAAACATTTTGTTTTAATTAAATAACACATTAACATGATAACATTACAATTAATTTAATGTAAATGAGTAACCTAATTTTCCATTTCTATATACAATGTGATAACTGCATTCAGTTGAGTTTAATTTGAGTATTCTAGCCTTGTGTATAGTTTATTATGGTGATTAAATTTTCAAAATAATCACTATGGTTACGCAGAAACATTTACATTGAAATGTCTGTTTGTTTGCAATTTCTATGGTTTATTATTCCAATGATCGACTATCACAATTACCTTAATGTGAGACCGAAAAGATAGTAAAAATATTTTACACCCTTGCAATGAATTACCAGGGTTCGAATCCCTTTAAAGAGAAGTAATCATGAAATTAAGAAAAAAAGATTGTTAGTAATAATTATCAATTAGCATTAAATGCTGTTTAGGTAACAGTAACATTTCTATCTGAAAAAACTGAGTTGCAATTGTTCGATTCTAAAGGAAGCATTAGCTCCGTCAAGATGGTTAATACATTACCATAGCATTCTGGGTCGCAAGAAACACCACCATTAATAATGGATCTCCATTGAGACATTGGAGAAGATTCGGCAAGAATATAGTAGTTACAGACAGACGAACAAAGGAGAAAGTAAAAGGACAGGCTGACTACACAGAAAAATACACACACGTAAAGAAGAGTACTGAAATTGATGAGTGAAATATTTGGAAGGCCTGGAAATTGCAGCGGTAAAGGCTGCTAGAGAATAAAATACAAAAGAAGTAGGAGATGTGATCAAGGAGCTTGAAAACAAAAGGTGATATTGTAGAAAGACCGGCGAAGGATGAAGAGGTTAAATCAATCAGTGAAGATCGTGAACAGAGGAACAGGCAAGAAGAATTTACCAGCCTCTCTGTTTGTAACAGACACTAACCAGTGCATGCAGAATTCCTTACAAATAACATACCAGCTGAATCACTGAAGTCAGATGCAGAGATAAATGCAAACATGCTCCACATTTTGTTCGGAAAAATTTGAGAGGAAGAATAAGTGCTGACAGACCTGAAAGAAGAATATTTCACAGAAATACCAAGAGAAGATCTCAGTAGGTGTGACAATAACAAGACGACATAAATGAACTAAAACACGAAATCTAGAATTACAAACAGTGATTTGCTATGAAGTCGCAATCGATATGGAAGCTTTGGAAGATCTTTATAAAGCTGAACAGTATGATTGATAAACAAAAAGGATCTGATACAGATGTGAAAGCACAGGTCGGCAAAGCAAGGTCAGCTTTCTTACATGTAATGGACATATGGAGACCAGTAGAAAGTGCTCACAAATCATGTCATGATGTCATTAATTTAGAAATATTGATTTTCTACTGACTAATGTCAGTAGTCTGTCATTTTTTAAGACACAATATTTGTGTAGTTTACTTGAGTGATGGAGTTCGAAGTCTAGGAACTATGTTTATCGAATACATTTTACTTTTCTATAGCTGATTATGTTATATGCTAACACTTAAATAGAGGTGCCAATATTCATAATGAAACAAACGTTTTGTTTGAAACATTAAATACACTCGGAAGCGTCGTTACTATTAAGTCAAGAAAATCAAGCACAAGTGGGACCAAAATAATCTCTCAGTAAAATATGAGAACCATACAGTGAACACTTCATTTACAAGATGTGAAATAATTGCCTCAATCTTTACTGCTCCGTTTGCAAATATCAGTCAATCATGGAGATTTGTAGCTCAGATGGATGATTTTGGTGGAGTTTTGTTCTGTGAGACGGATGGTTTGGTCGTGGAGCTTTCGTCGTTCTTCCGAACGACATCATCAGCACAAAATTCAGATAGAGGTGAAGTGTTAAAATTTCTCCATATGTGTTTCACAGATTGTTCTGTGCACCTCGATGTTGATTGGTTCTTATTGACCTTAAATTTATCTCATACACATAGTTCCCTTTATTATTTTAGAAAGAGCAAGAACAAAGATTGGTGCAGAATAATATGAATTCATTTTATTTCGTTAGGTTCTAATCAGCTGCCTACAACTTAAAAAAATTTGAAATTCAAAGTTATTATAAATATTGACATACTTATACAACAGAGGGCGATGAAGGATGAATATATGCAACATAATGTAGCAAAGACTTCGTTAGAGTTACATTATGTTGCATATATTTATCCTTCATCGCCCTCTGTTGTATAAGTGCGTCAAAATTTATAATAACTTTGAATTTCAAATATTTTAGGTTGTAAGCAGCTGATGAGAACCTAACGAAATAAAATGAATTCATATTATTCTGCACCAATCTTTTTTCTTGCTCTTCTTAAATTTATCATTGTTTACTTGTTTGTTTTGGTTAGGTCTCCCATTGGTTTGATTTTTTTTCTTATGTTTGTGCATGATTTTCCTGATTGGTTGATAAATTGGATTGATTTCAATATGTTTGTTGATTGCTGATTGACCTGAGTACCAGGCTTCTAAAAATTCTCTGGTGTTTTTGGAGTTTCCTTTGTCTAAGATTTCTACATTTTTCCAATCGAATGAGTGTCCGTAGTTATCCACGTGTAATTGCTTTATATTCTCATTATCCTCTTCTATATCTTCTCAATCTCCAGCTGCCAGATATTATATTTCTGATTCGCGTTATAAAAACGACTTATTTCAATATGAGTAGCACATATCTCGGCACTTCTAAAACTGATACTCACCGGTCATCAGTTCATTACGTTATGTCACCTGTTGATGGCTCAAAACAAAAACGGTAAAATTTACACTTTAATTTGAAATAGAAATAATCATCCGGTTATCATCTATGATCACAGTATGCTTTAGCTAATTTATTCTTAAAAATTAAAGAAATTCCTGGAACTCAATATATCGAAATCTTGATTAAATGTCGATCAAGTTTTTTGTGACACCAGTCGTTCGTACATCTTATTTTGGTTAGATACAGTTACAATTTCCAAATGATGTATTTTGCCTTAAATCTGGCCAGTTTTATGGATTAATAATCTGGATTTATAATTGCAGAACCTAATGAGAAATTATTGAAAAGAATATTCTTCTTTCATACAATTGTGTTTTGGTTAGATAGCCTATTCTATTCCTTGTATTGTGATTGGTTGATATATTTTCCATGTATGTGATTGGTCAACCATGATTAGCCAATCACAGCAGCCAATAAAATTTCACCTATATATTTTATTTTATTTTATTTATATATATATAACGCTGTCAAGATATCTCCCTGTTTTGAAATGGTTAATAATAATAATGATAGTGGTACACTAGTCACTAAGGTATAACATAATACTATGAATTCACTTAATTTAGATGCAATCTATCAAGCTAAACGTTTATTCAATGATAATATCTCTTTTATATATCATAGTACTAATTATTCTGATTTAAAATTAAATGAATTACTGAATAGAAATTTGACATTATTTTGGACAACTATGCATCAATGTTTAGATTTAAATGACTTAATACAACAACAAGTGATTTTATTAAATCATTCTATTGTCATAGCAACTATAAATCAAACTAGTCATAATTTATTTGCATCAACACAATTACAATCATTATATACATGGTGTAATTTAGGTAGATCAACATGGTTTACTAATGTATTTACATTAATGCATCATAATTCATGGCAAGAGAAAGTATCTATTAAATTACAAAAATATTTATTACCTATATTATTATTCATGAATTGTTTAAGTCTTCTAACATCTATAACAGGTATTTATCATCTATGTAAATTATCCAATAAATCTAATCAAAAGATCATGATCTTAATGAGATGTCAATCTATTATAGAAAATTATTTCCCAGCAACATGGCCATTATTATTATGGTATTGTATTATTGGTTTATTATGGTTATTATTAATATTTGGTTTAAATATGATGACATCACATCAATATTTCAATATTCATATTAGTATGCACAGTCATGATAATTATTGTCGTATTATAACTTATTTAAAAAATATATTAAGATATATACCAACATGGTTAATGAGTTTGATGTTATGTGATCGAGCTATTGGTGAATATCGTAATCGAAATCATATTTATACAATGATCATATCATGTAATCATCATGATGATTCAATAATCAATAAAAATCGATTAAATCAATTATCTAGTCAATATTGTAATCAATGTATTACTAATCAATCAATCAATAATCAATTAATAATCCCTAAAATAATCTATAATAATGATAATAATAATGTAACATCATATGATATGAATGATCCTGATCAATATCATTCATTATCAAAACGATCTTATTTTCATACCTTTCTATTATATTTTAAAAAGAAATTATATTTTGATTGTATTCTATATGGATTAAAACAAACATCTAAAAAACAATTTCAATCATTGAATAGAAACAATGATTACGTAATATCATGTAAAGAATGTAGTAATCCTACTACTAATCATGATTATGAGAGATTATTAAATGATTTATGTCATTGGAATGAATGTGGTTTAAGTCGAATAGGTGGTTTAGTATTATTTAGTATTATTACATCATTATTATGTTTAATTAATACACATTTAATATGGTTATATAAAATTAGTAAAATAACAAAACGTTGTGTATTATCTGCTGGTGATGCTATAATCTTATCTGTTTTCTATCCATATTTATTAAAGGTAATGTATTGATTGTTATTATTTATGATTTATTAGTTAATATATTACAGTTTAGTAATTCATTCCCCTTTAACATCAGAATCATTTATTGAATTTTGGATTGAGATCATGAGTCGATTGATGTTAGACCACTATTGAGAACCTGGTCTTTTCGTCCTAGTCTGGGACTCCTCAGCAGTGCTCATCCACTCTCCCGCTCATGAGATTCCAACCCAGTGCCTTCAGTCTCGTGCGCGAACACTTAGCCTACTAGACCACTGAGCCGGCATAAAATGGTTTTAATGTGTGAAGGCCCTCGGTTTGAATCTCGCGTGCAGTATCTTAGATGCTCACTGCTGAGAAGTCCTACAATAAGACAGAACGGCCTTCCAGTGCTTCCAGGTGGTCTAACATCAATCGGTTCACGACCTCAATTTAAAACTTAATAATCTCCACATCCCCTATACTGATATTTATTAATTGTTATTCAGTTGTAAATGGTTTGAAATTTAAGTTGCTTACCGGCTACCTCTAACAAACTAACGACGTCGTGTCATTTGAATTGTTACTTACGTACTTACACTTGTTACTCCTCATGGAAGGGAATAGGTCACCCATCAGCACTCTCCACCCAACACTGTCCTGGACAATCCTTTCCACTTGTTATTCACACTCTTCTATGGCCTTTCTCTTTTCCGCTTTCCTTCAGGATTTTTAAGTAAATGATAACTTGATAGATCAACTGAGATCATCGATAGAAAAAAGAGGAACCATTGCTTATTACTCTGTTTTCAATCATCTGTAAAGATTTTGATTCTCTTCATAATATACATGGTCATTGAACTAGTCAACCTTTTTCTTGAACTAAACAACTTTTAACATTTTGGTATGATAAAGATTTCTAGCTAAGGAAAATAATCTTGATCAAGTTACTTTACCTGGACTAGATAGTTTTATCGTGTAACTATCAGTTTAAATTTCTAAAAAAAGTAAGCTCTTTGTAATTTTACACATATGACTAGCAACGTGTTTTGTGCACGTTAATTTTTTATTGATTAACCTTCAATCAGTCTGGAATGTTTATAATGATTAGTTACAATGATTGACCTAAACATGAATTCATTATATAGACAAGTGATCTTCAGACTGGAGAATACTCATATTACCCTACTTTAACACTTAATTTGCATAATACTTTTCATAATACCATGATCTAATGCACAATTAATCCCTTTTTATAAGTGTTAATTACTTAATCGGTTTATATAAAGAAAAAATACTTATAATACGTAGTTCGAATAGGACTTTAACTTCTAAAAATTCATCTATTGGGTTTCCTTAAATTCTGATTGATTTAATCAAGATTCAATTAGAATCGATTATTGAAAAAGAAGAAGAAGGTACTAATCAAATCTAATCGAATAAATTTGAAGTAAATTCAACATATCGATTTAGTTTAATGAGATTTTATGAAAATGTATTGAATTTTTAGATCGTATGTGTTTTGGATTGATCCTAATTATAGTACCATTAAAAGTTAGATCATATAAGTTAGTTGTTCTGTTCTAGTATGAAATATCTCTATTTGAATAGTTCAGTAATAGTACTTCATACTGTTAAACTGGATCATATATAAACAAGGAGACCATTGGATCTTTTGAAAATTTTAAGTTATTCTTGCTGATTGTTACTCATCAGTGTAGTGTGACAACAGACGTGATAAACATCGATATACTGGACAGATGAAACTCAAAGAAAAAGTATTAATGGAAGACGTGTATTCTAACCAAGCATTAATTAATAAACCCATCAAACTCGACCGAATCTATCAGATAATATTGAAGAAGATTAACCACTGTAAGGTTCACTAAGAAAACGATCAAAAAGAACATGCTAAAAACGAACATACAGTTGACTATCGTTCACTTCTGTTTAAATTACATGCCAATGAAGTTTTTCAGAGGAAAAATTAAACCTTTATAACCAAGCTACCCATCTGAAAGACTACAATACCTCCAATATCCAGGATATTCATTTTGTTCCACTTAGAAATCTATATTCGGATATACTTAACTCCGTGTTAAGTTCAGATTTCAGATGTGAACCTAGTGTCTAACAAATGTTTCAACCGACCAATCACAAAGTTATAAAATTTTAGTGTCTCACTTTTTGAGGTTTCAACAATTTCGTTGTAGTTTCTGATATGCCTTTTAATGTATAGTGAGGTGATCTAGATCATCCTACAGGACAAGCTATGAGCCATATTTGGAGATATTCGAACACTTCACTCCTATCTGAAGTTTGTGCTGATGATGTTGTTCAGAAGAATGATGAAAGCTCCACGACCGAACCATCTATCTCAGAGAACAAAACTGCATCAAAATCATCCAACTGAGCTACAAATCGTTTCTACCATCGTAATGGTTCACATAATCAACTCAACTTATTTCGTGGATTGGTTGATGTTAGAAACTATCACCAATGGATGCCGGCTCAGTGGTCCAGTTGGTTAAGCGTTCGCGCGCGAGACCAAAAGCCCTGGGTTCGAATCCCGCTCGCGGGATCGTGGATGCGCACTGCTGAGGAGTCCCACAATAGGACGAAACGGCCGTCCAGTGCTTCCAGGTTTTCAATTGTGATGGTCTAACATCAATTGGTTCAAGATCTCAATCAAGAACTTAATAATCTCCACAACTCCTATACTAGTAATCAACTTATTTAAATAACCATTAAAAACCAGGAATCACTGGACAGCTTGTTCGTCACACTATGAGATTCAAAAGTACAGGAAGTCAAACTCAGGTCCCTTTCTACACTGTTGAAATTGAAAATCGCTGACACAAAAAAATACAAGGTTAGAGCCTGAATGAGAACCTTAACACTAAGCTGAACTTACATTCAGATAACAAGACCCATGTAAGATAAAATGTATGTTCTGGACTTCAATGTTAATCGCTAGAGATCATCCACATAAACTTTAGGCTTACTACACTCATTTAATCGTTTGTAAGATAAAGAACTGAGTTTACCGATCACAAATTTGATGTACATATAGATTATGGTACATAACATTGAGCACTGGTCAGATTGTCGTTTACCTAGATTGTGATTTTTGTTTATTTAATTAACTGATCTAATATTTTAGTGTCATATTTCTCATTTTTGATGGAACATTATCAGTGAGCATCAATCTTTGAGATTAATTACAGTGATTCACTTGGTGTTGTTTGGCTTGTATCTTCCCATTGAGGTTTAAGACTGCAATTGATCAGTGTGTTATTGGCATATGTGCATACTGTGCGTATGCCTCGATATTACCTTAATTCACAAACTCTTTGTAAGCAATGATGGATAGTGGCTAGCAGTGGAATCGAGGACGCGCATTTCGTTCTGTTTGGTACTCGTCAGCTGGAGGTGCCTGCATCTCAGAGTTGATGTTCACTCTGGGAGCCGAACTCAGTACCGTTCGCTTCAAAATCAACACCTTATCCACTCAGCTACTACTGAGTCCTCATAGCCACTTGCTTGTGCAATGGGGTAAAGTTTAATTCACTTGGTATTGTTTTACTTGAATCTTCCCATTGATGTTTTAGGACTGAAATTGATCAGTCTCTTATTGGCATATGTGCATACTGTGCGTATACCTCAATATTGCCATAATTCACAAGCTTTTTTATGCAATGATAGATGGTCGCAGAGTAAACATCAACGCTCTGAGATGCAGGTACATCCAGCTGACGAGTCCCAAATAGGACAAAACGCGCGTCCTGAATTCCACTGCTAGCCACTATCCATCATTAAATATAGTGATGATTATAAGTAGACTAATCTATGGACTAGATCTACTAGTCATCTGCTTTCTACATCAATAATTTGATCCTTTATATCCGTTAATGCATTTGTTTCTTGTGGATATACCTGAGTGTATAAGTCATAAACGTTTATTATCGTTCATAATATTTTACGATTAAAGCTGGTCCCCATCTAACCTCTCAAAATGATCCTGCTTTACAAGTTTAAATTCTTAATTGAATGTTGGAAATGTATCCGGTATCTGATGGCTATTGAAATAAAACTAACTTTTTGTTGCTCAGTTCATAAGTTTGGTCACACCACTAATTTACTGATTTTGGAAGTATATACTATTGATTTTACAATCACTAATTTGAAAGCAATCTGTTTAGTATGAGATTTAAACATCTTCAGTTCAATCCTTGGTAAGCATGTGAGTAGACACTTCCATATAGTCTCGTATTACGGACCGAATCTACTGTTCAGTCGATATAAATTCAACTTCTGTATGCCTATATGAAATACCTTCACTTAGTAGAACCAGTAATATTGAGTTGGCTTTACGTCGATAATAATAATAGTAATGACAATATATTGTGCATAGCCAATATACCCACTTAATGTGTTGGCGCTTATTGGTCTAACCAGATCTCAGCCTAACCAATCTGAAGGTGAAAAAGGTAGAGCGATGTATTTGGTAATATATCACCTATAAGATCCTAATTATTGTAGCTCGGATATTACAAATTGTACATAATATGGTCGTAGTGAAACAAAACCGAGTAATAGTGAAGTGAACGAGAACACAATTGAGGACAATCAAATGTATTTGAATACAAAATTACAGAATTTTTCAGTAAAATCTGAGAAACAATAAATACTTCATTTGCAAAATGTCAGTCAATCCACTTGGTACTGTTCACTTGAATCTTCCCATTAATGTTTAGCACTGCAACTGTGGGTATTACTTCGTTATGGCCTTAATTCAAAATTGTCATAAGCAATGATGGATAGTGGCTAACAATGAAATTTAGTTTGAAGCACGTTTCGTCCTATTTGGGGGTTTTCGGCTGGATTTACCTACATCCTAGAGCTGATGTTCAACCTGGGACTCGAACCCAGCACAATTCGCCTCAAGCGTCATCGCGTTATCCGTATAGGTAATGAGTCCTGATGGTCACTTTCTTGTGAAATTTCAATTCAATCGATATTGTGAAAATTCCCATTTT